CAAGGAAGGAAAGGAGGGAACACCGAGCCTGGCTCACAGCTTTTCCTCCCAATGTCCCTGTGAGTGGCTGTAGGTACCAAACGAGGCTGAGTCAGACCCACTGGGGTGATGTGGGGTCTCCCATGAACTCAGTGGAGCCTGCAGAGTGTGTAAGCGAGCGCTGCCTGGACAGACCTGTCACAGCTTCTGGTGTGGATAAAATCTGTCTGTGTTACCAGCAGGATGTCAGCGCTTCCAGGACATGAGGTTAGGAGTGGGTCAGTTGTAGCCAGCAGGATTTTGCTTGGTGGTAGGTGCTGAAACTCAAATGCCCAGACAGTAGATCTCTTCAAAGGCCATTAATCCTGCTACTTCAATGCACTCATACTGGCCTTACTGGTTTTCTAGCTGTGGTGACAGCTAAGCAATCCTAGCAGCAATCCTGCTTAAGCAGCAGCTCTAGCAAGTCAGCGTGGTGGCAGAGATGGGGTGAACGAATGGGGCAGAGCAGTTGGCAACCCAAGAGATGTTATAGGATCCAACTGCAAATGGAGTTCTGGTCCTGCATCTCCGATAACCAGGAGGTGAGGTGCAGGACAGCATTGCCTGGCAGCAATCTGGGTGGCATTTGCTGCTCCGGGTCTCTCAGAACACTGTGCACAGGGTCAGCGCCAGGCTGCCCAGTGTCACAAACCCACTGCGCTCGATGGCTACGGAGGAGGACATCAGCTCTGGAGCATTTGTCAGCACAGAGGCTTGGGCCGTGGGATCAGCTGCTTTGCTTTGACTCTTGTGCTCTTTAGTGACTAATCAGATTTTTTTTGAGCCTGTTTAACAAATTCAGCTGTCTCCCTTGAACAATACACTGACTGTATTTTTAAACACATCACGTGGCTTCAGAGAAGTCGGCAAACCAGCGTAGTGCGGCTTGCCTGGGCTGGGAGATGCTCTGCCCTGCTCTGCGCTGTGACTAGGAAGGAACAGTCTCCTTCTCAGCTCGAGCCGTCTGTGGCAGCTTTTCCTCGGCTGCCCGCTGCTGCTCCTCGAGCTCTGCCCAGGGTAAGTACCGCTGGGCCAGCCAGATTTTTCTGTGGTCACAGGGTTGGGTGTAAGCTCAGGTGCTGCTGTTGGAGAGAGCCAAGCCGATACTCAAAGGGCAGGAGGTCCCTTTTCCAAGTGTGGTCAGAGAGGGGTTCATAGTTTCATGTTGTAGCCAAAATGAGTCTGGACCTCTCGGGGAAACTCGCAGGGATAAATGTGGGAAGATGCTGTGACCCTCGCTGAGGGCTCCTGCAGACCAGCTCTGCCTCGGGACGAGGTAGATCCTTTAAGTAAAGGACCCACCTGTACCTGTGTGGAGTTTTCTGTTGGTGTTTTGAGGTTTCTCCCTGTTGTGTGAGGCTAGAGATGCCAACTCCTGGCAGGTATGCCGCTGGGTAATGCAGCTTGGGACCAGTATATCCCAGCATGTGGCTTCGGGCATGCTCACAGCTTTCCTGGCGCTGGCACTGAATTGGTACTAGCATCAGGCTGTAGTGCACTTGAGCACAATGACATTTTTTTACTCACCTGGTTTGGGCAGTATTTTGGATTATTAATCCTCTTCTGTACAAGAGCTACTGAAAATCTGGGCTAAAAAACCTTGTGGTCTTGGTTGGTTGAGATCAGGTGGGGCTGGAGGATATCAACTGGATCCCAAACTTGCTTTGCTGAAAACTGAAAGCTTCAGGGTAAGCTGCCTTGTTTTGCAGCCTCTGAATAATTAAAAACATTTCTGAATGCTTTGCTCTTTTTCATTTGGTTTGGGGACACATTCAGCTTGCTGAGACTTGCTCCTCTTGAATAGAGCTGGCTGATGTTGTGCCCCTGTGGGATCTCCTGTGGCTGAGCCTGCCCTGCCTTCCCTCTCCTCCTCGGGTAGCAGCTGACCCATGGAGCAGAATCAGGACTTTCACGACCACCTCGGTGCCCTGGTGCTCTGCTTGAGGAGGCAGCTCTGTGTGGAGGGAGGAATTTGCTTGCCTTGATTCTCAGTGGGAGGAAACCCTGCTGCTGCAAGGGAAGCAGTCTGGCGCGTACTCGTCTGTCGGCTCTTGGGCAAAGGCCCGACCAGACAGGCTGGTTGTGGACGTGGACTGAGGATGGTGCTCGCCGCTGACTGGGAAACAGCTCCTTTGTCAGCAGGACAGACTGGCACGTTGCTGGCTGCCTATAGCCAGCTCCTGTTGGGGCTGTGTGTGGTGGTCCACCTCTGAGCCTGCAAACTCCTGCTAATGGGCCAGGCCTTGCTCTTCTCAGCCTGGCTGTCGGTGTGCACAGAGAACACTGGCTGTGGGCCCATTTTGTGCCCCTCACAGCTAAAACTGTGTGGGTAGCTGCCCCCCCCACCCCTGTCCCAGCTTGCTCCAGCACAAGCAGCAAGAAATGCCAGTGTAACAGCAAGGATCTAGAGCATTTGAGGTCCATAACTGGGACATGGAGTTTCTGATGCTGCTCCCAGATGAAGTGGAATCTCCTGGCTGATCTCAGCCTTGGGAGAGAAACTCACCCTTGTGTTTGTCACCCAGACAAGGCTGCTGCTGTTGCCTCCAGCTCTGCAGTACAGTACTGCAGCTGATGGCAAAGAGCACACGGCCTTTCTGGAGCTGTATACTCACCAGACGTGCCACCTCCTGCATAAGCCGTTTGTGGGCTAACAGGAGCCCAGTGCCCTCCTGGCCCTCTGCCATGAGATCTGGGAGGGAAGGAGGTGTGTCATGCTGCAGCACTGACAGGCTCTTTCTCTGTTTCAGTTCTCAGCATGCTGAGTAACCCCCTTGGGAATGTCCTGGGGAAGCCCCCGCTGGGTTTCCTGCCCCTAGACCCCATCGGTTCAGACCTGTCAGAAAAGTTCTCCACGCCATCACTGAGGAACTCCCGTCTGGATTCCCGCTCCCTCCTGGATTCCCGCTCCAGCAGCCCCTCGGACTCAGACACCAGTGGATTCAGCTCTGGCTCAGACCACCTCTCAGATTTGATTGTAAGTGGGTCTTGCGCTCAGTCTGTGGTTCCTGGTGTCTTGCTGTGCTTCTGGGGGGCATGGGAGAGCTGCAGCCTTGCCTGCTTGAGGGGGGAGGGAGTGCTGGAGGCAGCTGTCATGCTCACAGTGACACAGCAAGGTTCTCCTGCAGCCCACGGTTTGGAAGAAGGGCTGCTCATGCAGTCTTCCTTCAGCACAAACTTGCAGTATCCTTATATTCTTCCCTTCTAAATAATATTTTAGCCTTTTGACATAGTACTTGCAGCCCTAATGAGTTAAAACAGCTCCTGGAGAGGTCTTAGTGCCTGAGCTTGGTGTGTGTCCTCATCCCAAAAGGGGGGTGGTCAACCAGCAGAGCTGCCTCCAGGCACCAGGAGCTCCTGTCCCTGCCTTTCATTGCCCTTCCCCTTTGCTGACTGCACTTCTCCATCTCAGGCCTGTCTCTTCTAGAGCAAACTGAGTCTAGCCTGCTCCCGTTCCCTAATGCAGAGCTAAATTTGGAAGCCAGCGAGTGTCTGTCTGGCTGGCCCAGTCTGTGCTGCTGGGTCTGCGTTGCAGTGTGAGCAGCAGCTCTGGGTGCCAGCAGGGCAGCTTGGCTCCATCCAGCTCTGCAGGTGCTGCTGCATGGCTTCTCTTCAGGACTTGAGGCTAAAGCCAAGGCTAAGCCGCTCCTGGCTCTGTTGTGATGCGGCCGTGGCCTTGATCCTCATGTTAGAGCAGGCGTGAAGGATGCAACTGGCTTGATATAGGCTTGATTCGCCTATGGATCCACCCTGGAGAATCAGGATCTAGAGCAGGGGTGCCAGAAGCAGCTGCAGCACCCCTGCCTGATGATGGCAGGCAGTGAGGGGTGGCAGGGCCTCGTGCCGGCCTTGTTTGTGAAGGTCAGGTCTTCCCCAGCACAGCCTCGGCGTGGGTGGCTGTGCCGCAGCAGCACGCGGCTGGATCCGCAGAAGGGCTGGCACTCGATAAGCCGCACAGTGTCTCGCATCCCTGCTGTTTTATTAATCCGTGCTTGTACTCCTTCCGACCCAGGAGAGGCACGTTAAACCTGCAAGCAGTTGGGTCTGCAGCCAGCAGAGCCCTCACCCTGGTCAGGCAGGCCTGGGATCTGGGCTGCAGAGGGTGAGAGTTGGTGTGCTGCCTCTGGAGCTCCAAGCAAAATGTGGGGTGGCTGGTGCTCCCCAGGGGTGACAGCTGTCCTTGAGGCTGTGCAGGAAGCAGGTAGATGTTGGCTTTGTGATCTGCAAGATGCCTCCTGCTTAATGATACCTGCTGATCATTTGTCATGGATCCAGTGGGAAATGGGTGCAGGGACTGGCCTTTCCCAGGGAAACTGGTCAGGCTACTGGGAGAGGTGAGGTGGCTGCTTTCCTGCATCTGCCAGACCTCAGAAGGTCTTGGGAGAACAGGAGATTGCAGAGAGCCTTGTCTCCTGCTGCGGGGGAAGGCAGGCTCCCAGGGTGATGCAGGACCTCCAGTATTACATACTCCTACTTGGAAGCTGGGTTTTACTGGTTTTGACTTTCTCTTGCAGTCAAGCCTTCGCATCTCCCCACCTCTGCCCTTCCTGCCCCTCAGTGGGGTGTCAAGAGACCCCCTAAAGATGGGAGTGGGATCACGACTGGATCAAGATCAAGCTGCCTTAGCTGCAGTCACTTCCTCCCCAGCCAGTGCATCAAAAAGATGGCCTGGAGCATCTGCGTGGCCTTCCTGGGATCTCCTGGACTCTCCAGAAGACCCCTTCAGTATCGAAAGAGAAGCCAGGCTTCATAGGCAAGCAGCAGGTAAGATGGGTGTTGGGTCTCAGCAGGTTTCAGTGCAGGGTGATGGTCCTGTGCTCTCTGTGCAGATAATGTGACTCAACATGAACTTGCAGCAGATCAGACCTTTCTCCATGTGCTGGCCTGACTGTAGGATCATCGAGTCCATCTCCTGTCCCTGCAAAGGACAATCCCAACAT